CCACTGCAAGGCATGACCTTGGTTCGGGGACAAAATTTGACCCAAGCTCCTCATACTTAATGTTCAGAGAAACATACCATAGCATGGGTGGGAGGAGACATGAGAAGGAAAGGGGCTGCTCTTCTCGCTGCCATGTCCTAGGCTGGAGGGGTTCTGGTTCTCTACATTTAACTATCTTGTCATCTTTTCTCCTTCAACCTTTTGCTCAAGAGAGACATTTGGTGTGTTTGGGGAGGCAGAGTGCAATGGGTGTCCCTGCTTCCTGCTCAGCTCCTTCCCTCTGGGGAAGGCACCTGGCCACTGCTGTGGCAGGGGTAGCCACAGAGGTCACTGCTAATTCAAGGCAAACAGAAGTCAGTAGCATCCTGAGTGCTCTTAATTACCCTGAGGGGGCTAGGAGAATGTGCACAGGGATTTTCAATTATGTCATTCTCAGCACAGTTCAATAAATATTCTTAACCTAGTCAATAAACCTTTCATCATGTAAATGTTAGGATAATGCTCCTTCTGTTGGAATTAAGCGTTGCTGACTTAGGTGCTCATCAAATCTCACTTATGTTCTGTAAATGACGTGAAGCAAAATCCATGATCAGAGCTACAACACTCCTATGTCTTTAGGGACTCCTTCAAACCCCGTCAGGCTACATCTCAGTTCCAAGCCTAAAGATCCTGGAAATCCTAAAGGAATAACATCTATGTAAACATTAAAGTTGACTACATTCAGAATTATACTATTTAATTCATATTACTGTAATACAATGAGAGACTTCAGCTCTGCACTGCATGTGATGCCAAGCTCAAAATATTAATCTTTTGCAGATGCCAGGACAAGTCATACACCCCATATCAACCCCCAGGTTTCATTAGTAGTTGTTAATACATCAGATACTTCAGCACCACAGAGATAATCATGCCATAATGAATGAAAGAAGAAATTCATTGCAAGAGGAGAAGAATCACATTCCCAATACCTCCTCAAAGGACAGAGAGAAAATTACTATCTGATGCAAATTAATGAGATGAAATTAATGAGTATCAACAAATAAAATACTCCTCCAGTGGGACCAACCACAGGCACATAGTAAAATGTCTTCTTGGCCCTCCTCCAGTGCTTCAGGGAGGCCCCACCAAATAGGTGCATGTTGAAGAGGCTTGGAGCCCACCAAAAGGCAGGCAGCTCACAGCAGTGCCAGAGTGATTTCCACCAAGGTACCCTTACAGGCAGTGTCTGCTCAAATAAGCGGCAGAACAGACCTGGATGTATATGACAGAATAAGTTCATGTAATTAAAAAAAAACACCTCTGTAAGGTATAACAATGTAAAGCTCTTTTTGTAGATGTGTCCAATGTGCACCCAGCTGGGAATATGCTGTTGATTTGCCAAAAATGCGAGGAGGAACCATTGCTGTCTGCATGCATGTCATTAGCCTATTTGCATAATTACTCTTTCTTAAATGTTCACATTTTTAAATGTATTATAACCCTAACTGTCAGCTAAGCTGGATGCTGTAAGGCGGAGACAGTAAAGGAATTTAATTCTACTTACAAAATATCCTATTGTATGTTTAATAAGATATAAATGTTTGTTGGTTTTAAGTGATGCTTAGCAATTTCACGGTGTCTCTCAAGTATTAATTAATTAATAAGCCAATTATGATCAGGCTGAGAACAAGGTATAATGTGCTGGAAACAGAACAGTCTCTGAAGGACCAGAGGGACAACAGGTCCTGGATTCATTGTGCTTTTTAATAGGGCTGCTTGCTTCCAGATTCATTTTATGTTCCTGTGTTGGTAACAGGGGATGCTACTGGTGATCAAAGGTAAATAAATCTGTTTAAAGTCTTCTTAACATGCCAGACTAAATGGTAATGGGCTGTGCTGTGGTCTGGCAGACATACCTTGTCAGCCATCATCTTCTTAGAGGGGAATATGTGAGTGTGAGTGTGTGTGTGTGTGTCTGTGAGTGAGAAGAGAGGACTCTGATAAATAACTTTCATGATGAAATGATAGAGTCTTCGCCCAGCCCAGCCTCACATGTGTTCAGTCTGTACTGCAGTGCCAACAAAGGAATAAACCTGAAGGTTGAGATGAAAGAGAAAAGAAAGAAAAAGAAAGAAGTTTCTTTCACAGAAAGAAACTGGGGCATGAATCTGTGAGGGACACTCTCCAGGCAGGCAAATCCAAGCAAACCACCATGATGTCCAAATCAGAGCAGTCCTTGAAAACACTGAGAGATACAGCCTATAAGATCTGCCCTTCCTTCCTACCTCCCATCCTCCCAGGAGCTGCTCAGTTTAGGCACTGCAGGCACCAGCTCTAAGACACTTTACATGCCTTGCTTGCCCTTTGGTAGGCCTGGGAACTAGGGGTTCCAGGCTCTCAGCTGAAGGACACATAGTATATGCTCAGCAATACTTTTATTTTATTGTGTCAGAAGGTTAAGGTTAAAATCCATTATACACAGAAAAAGCCCACAGGAGTCAGCTGAGAAAAAGAGGATGTGGGTAGAAAGCCTGCATCAGTCCTCAGCAAAGCACTGGAGCAGAGGTGGCAGGGAAGGAAGGGATACTTTGCTTGCAAATGCTCCCAAACTACCAAAACATCATCATAAGCAACGAAAAAAAAAGCAGATATGGCAAACAGGCTGGTGCTGCTGGGGTCACATTGAATGGTGATGCTCAACTTACTCTTTCTAAAGGGATGGGAGAAGAAAGGCTGAAGTATTTAACTCACACACAAAGCTACACTCAAATGCATAAAAGAGGATTTTATGGCAATATTACTTTGATGGTTTTCTAGATTTTATTACTGCTTTGCTTTGGTTATTTCAGCAAGAATGGCTGTTGTTAGTAGGCCCAATGGCAGTTTTGTCAGAAGTTGGGCAATGACCATCCACAGTCACAGGCTCCCTGCCTTGCTCTGAGCTTTTCCTGACAAGCCATGAGTACTCCTCTCTGGATTTGCCCCTGGGCGAGCCCAAGACAGTGGAGGCAACAGCAGCAGCTCCTACTGCCAACATGCTACCAATTGCTATCTTGGCTTGTAAAGGGAAAGGAAAATACAGGCTGGAATCATGATAAGCACTTTTATTTACCCCCAGGCACGTTAATGAAAAGCAGGCAGGGATAATCAGGGCAATTAAAAGAATGAGAGACATCTACCCCATAAACAGAAGGGTTAACATCCAGGTTTTTACCCTTAGATGAAGGCATTCAGTAAGAAGGCACTGTCAGGGTGCAGACAGATCACAGTGACCGTCCTGGTCCAGGGTGTCTGGTGAGACCAGAGGCAGTGTTGGCTTGGACCCCACACCTGGGACTTGGCTGTCTCCAGGCAGTCTTTTTTGCAACATCGTCATGTCCGTCCCCGACTCCGCCGCCGCCCGGTCCCTGCGCTCCCGTCCCGCCTGCGCTCCCTTCGGGGCTCGGCTTGTGTCGCGACCGTTCCCGCTCCGCTGGCGGGACGCAGCTCCCCGGGGGTGCCCGCGGTGCTCAGCTCGTCCCCAGGCTCCGGGACAACACCGGTCGCTCGCCAGAGCCGCGCCCGCGACCAGTCTTCAACGGGGCCGCATCCTGCTGGCAGACACCCGCTCGCATCCCCCGAGCTCCGCTCACCTTCACCCCTGTGCCGCTGCTGCCGCCACCGATCTGCCGGCCCGCTCTAAATAGAAAGGGGCCGGGCACGCCACGGGGAGGCCAGAAGGGCACGGTCGTTCCCGAGGTCGCTGCCGCCTCTGCCCGGGAACCGTCCCGTCCTGTCCCTCCCCTCCCTTTGGGGCTCCGCTCCGGAGGGTGTTGCCAAAACCACCCGTTGGGTGGGAATTGTGGTCCTGCCACCCAGGATGGTGCGCACCGCCACCCTGCAGGGAGCCTCTACGTCCGAGCGGTGCTTCCTAGCGCTCCCTCCACAGCACTGACTCTGTGCCCTGTCACTTCGCAGAACGTTCTCTTGCAGAACAAGAACCCCTGGCTGCTGATTAAAGCCTGGCTTGGGAGCTGCTGTATTGTTTCACCAGTTTCTGTGTCTTTCTGTCCACATACACCGTGGAGGAGAAAATGCTGGGAAAAGCCAAGCTACAGCCACAGGAGGTGCTGCCAGTGTTCACACCTGGCTCCCTCTCTGTGGCCCCCGGTACCGAGGGGAAAACACTGTCTGCAATAAAGTGGCAGAATTTCCTTTCCCATTACAGCCTCTTTCAAAACTTCATCCTCATTTTGCACTGTGTACTCTGCCCCAACCCCTCTCTATATGCATTGTCCTCTGGAAAGAGCCACTGCCTTCTCCAGGGCCAACCGTACTGCATGGGCAGGTGTGGTGGTGGCTCCTCTCCTGCTCTTGTTAATCTTCTCTCTTTCAGTCTGTGGAGTGCTGGGACGAGGGGCTGCCCAGTGCCATTGTCACCAGCATTTCCCAGGTTGGCCCATGGGTACACTCCATCATGAGTGGCTGTAAAATCCTGTCTAGAGGCTTTCAAAATCCTAACATACACAATCCCACAGGATTATCCTTTTGGTTTTCCTCCTCAGAAATAGGGGCAAGAGACTTTTTCTTACACATTCCTTACACAATTTTTTATCTATTATATTATTATTTTAATATTTTGATAAACTAGACAGTCAATTAAATAAAGCATAATAATAAAATACTATAAAAATAAACATGCAGCAGCTTGCTTTGTAAAAGTTCTCCTACAATCTCTGAGCCTCTTATCCCTCTTCCCCCCACACCGGGAAGCCCAGGCCTCTGAAGGACGGGTTTTAAGTCTTTTTTGCAACACTGTCATCTCCTGCAGAAACTCCACTTCTCAAAGCAAACAGAAAACAGCTCAAAGTAAGCACAGTGGATTTTATGGCAATATTATTTTGGGTTTTTTACATTTTATTACTGCTTTGCTTTGGTTATTTCAGCAAGAGTAGCTGTTGTTAGTAGGCCCAATGGCAGTTTTGGCAAAGGCTGGGCAGAAAGCCTCCGTGGCCAGAGGCTCCCTGCCTTGCTCTGAGCTCTTCCTGACAAGCCGTCACTACTTCTTCTCTCTGGATTTGTCCCTGGGCGAGCCAAAGGCAGCGCAGGCGACAGCAATAACAGCGGAGGCAACAATACCAGTTCCTAGTGCCAGCATACTACCAACTCCTATCTTGGCCTGTAAAGGGAAAGGAAAACACAGGCTGGAAACAAAAGAAGCAATTATATTTACCCCCAGGCATGCTAATGAAAAGCAGGCAGGGATAATCAGGGCAATTAAAAGAATGAGAGACATCTACCCGATAAACGGAAGGGTTTTTTGCTCTTAGGCTGTGGCATTCAGTAAGAGGGCACTGTCAGGGTGCAGACAGACCACAGTGACCCTCCTGCTCTAGGGTGTCTGGTGAGGCCAGAGGCAGTGCTGGTTTGGACCCCACACCCAGGACTTGACTGTCCCCAGGCAGTCTGTGGGCTGTGTCCCTGTCCAGGGGCTCACAGGGAGCAGCAAGAAGGTGTGTGAGGTGTGTGAGGCACAGAGGGGCTTATCTCATGGTACTTACCTGGTCAGAGACGCTCTCGCCATAGCGGAGCATTGTCACAAAGTGCTCACAGTTTTCGCAGAACACATTATAGGTCATCTCCATGCCAATGTAGCTCTCAGCACGCTTGATGATCTCCTTCACTGGGAGGGGGGTGCGGGAGCGGTCATACTTGTTGTTGACCTCCCAGTCATCAGTTCCCACCACCTCCTTCAGGAGCTGCTTCTTCACCTTGGCCTTTTTGCTCAATGTTGTGTCACTACTGGCTGACAGGCATCGGATCCCTTCATCTGGGAAAGGCAGGAAGGAGATAAGCCAGGCAGAACCTATGTGGCCCCTCCAAGACCTCAAATGGGTTTCTGACTGCTCCTGGAATGGCCATCTATGTACACAGTTTTGGTCAACCACCAGCCCACAGAGGGAGACAGGGCTCCCGGGGCACCACAGCACCTCCTCTGCACCCTGCCAGGTTGCACCAGCCTTACCTGCGGACGTCAGGTGGACGACATATCCGTCCCCCAAGTAGAGGGCCCAGTGCTGGTAAACTGATCGCTTGATCTCGATCAGGTCGCCAGGCTCAGGTTGGTGCCTGTGGCGTGACATCCCAGGAGCCTTCGGTCAGGACACGGCGGTGCAGCTGGTCTGGCTCAGCGCAGGGCGCAGCGGAGCGGGGAGGTGTGGGGTGTGCAGAGGCACCTGCCGGGACGGCAGGCACGGAGGGCGTTAGTGCCGGGCACCGAGGGCATGAGCTGCCGGAGCGGCGGCCCCTCCGCGCCGGACCCGGCTCGGGGCGGCCGCTCCCGCCCGCTGGCGCAGGACAAGGCACGGAAGGGCCGCCCCTCCCACCCAGAGGATGAGATCGGCTCCCCCGCCACCCTCCCCGTCTCCCTCCGCCGCCGCCCGGTCCCTGCGCTCCCGTCCCGCCCGCGCTCCCTTCGGGGCTCGGCTTGTGCCGCTGCCGGGCCCGCTCCGCTTGCGGGACGCAGCTCCCCGGGGGTGCTCGCGGTGCCCAGCCCGTCCCCAGGAACACCTCTGGCCGCTCGCCAGAGCCACGCTCGCCGCCAGCCCCCGACGGGGCCGCATCCTGCTGGCAAACGCCCGCTCGCATCCCCCGAGCTCCGCTCCCTGCCCTTTCACATCGCCCCGCTCACCCACCGCCCGTCCCGCTGCTGCCGCCACCGCGCTGCCGGCCCGCTCTAAATGGAGACGGGCCAGGCACGCCCCGCGGATGCCAGAAGGGCAGGGTCCTTCCTGGCGTCACTGCCACCTCTGCCTGGGAACCGTCCCGTCCTGTCTTGCCCCTCCGTTCGGGGCTCCGCTCCCGAGGGTGTTGCCAAAACTACCCGTTGGGTGGGAACTGTGGTCCTGCCGCCGAGGATGGCGTGCACCGCCACCCTGCAGGGAGCCTCTACCTTCGAGTGGTCCTCCCTTCCAGTGAAGGGCAACAGCACTGACTGCAGAACAAGAACCTCTGGCTGCTGATTAAAGCCTGGCTTGGGAGCTGCTGTATTGTTTCACCAATTTCTGTGTCTTTCCGTCCACATACACCGTGGAGGAGAAAATGCCAGGAAAAGCCAAGCTGCAGCCACAGGAGGTGCTGCCAGTGTTCACACCTGGCTCCCTCTCTGTGGCCCCCGGTACCGAGGGGAAAGCACTGTCTTCAATAAAGTGGAAGCATTTCCTTTCCCATTACAGCCTCTTTCAAAACTTCATCCTCATTTTGCACTGTGTACTCTGCCTCAACCCCTCTCTATATGCATTGTCCTCTGGAAAGAGCCACTGCCTTCTCCAGGGCCAACCGTACTGCATGGGCAGGTGTAGTGGTGGCTCCTCTCCTGCTCTTTTTAATCTCCTCTCTTTCAGCCTGTGGAGTGCTGGGACAAGGGGCCGCCCAGTGCCATTGTCACCAGCATTTCCCAGGGTGGCCCATGGGTACACTCCATCATGAGTGGCTGTAAAATCCTTTTGGTTTTCCCCCTCAGAAATAGGAGCAAGTGACTTTTTCTTACACATTCCTTACACAATTTTTTATCTATTACATTATTTTAATATTTATGATAATCTAGCCAGTCAATTACATAACCATAATAATAAAATAATATAATAATGAACATGTTATCATAATATAATTTTATAATGCAGTAGCTTGCTTTGTAAAAGTTCTCCTACAATCTCTGAGCCTCTTATCCCTTTTCCCCCCACACCAAGAATCCTAGGCCTCTGAAGGACGGGTTTTAAATCTTTTTTGCAACATTGTCATCTCCTGCAGAAATTTCACTTGTCAGGGCAGACAGAAAACAACCAAAACCAAACAGAATGCGTGAATATTCCCACACTGAATATTCTTAGGATCTTCCAGCTCTGAGGTCATCTTGAGCAAAACCAACTCTATGGCAAGTGATGGATTCTGCTGCTCCTCCTCAAACACTCACCTCGTGGTTCAGGCAGTGTTCAACCAAATCCTGGCAATGCACCCACCAGGCTTGATGGAAAGGCAACCAAATAATAATCAGCCTGAGCCTGACTGCACAGACAAGCACGGTACAGGAGCAAACCCCTGCATTCAGTGAAATGCTACAGCTTCCAAGAAGTACAAGAAAATTCACCAGCTGAAGTAATGGCAGTATTCT